ATTTCACACCTGTACATTTAGGTGTGCTTCTTAACAACTGTGCATTTCCCCCTGGACTACATTCCTACCAGTTTAACTGGTAGATAAATACGGGTTTATACTAGGGATGTACCGATATATCGGCGGCCCAAAATGGTGTTATCAGCATTTTACTGATCAGAAAAAAGGGGCAATAATGGTGATTCTACCTGTGGTGTGTTTTTTTTTTTTTTTTTTTTTTTTTTTTTTTTTTGCAGCAATTTTACCACATTTAGGGTGATGATTGCATAGGCCATATGACTCAAAAACACACTAAAAACTCAACATGTGCATTTTTGCTGCGTTTTCAATGCATGGTTCACAACAATGCAGTTGCATGTCGCGTTTTTGTATTTTTGCATATGCGTTTTTATGAATTTGCATAAGTTTATTTATTTTGGCCAACTTGTTGCAGGGCAGATTAAAAATGTATCAAAAACACAGCATGTGTGCATTTTTAATGGGTTTTCACTGCATTGCAGGTCTGGCTCGCCCCAATGCAGTTTACATTCTTGTCTGTTTTGCAGTGCATTTTTTGCACACGCTTTTTTGGCGTGTTTTTTGAAGCGTATTCCATTTTTTTTGAATATTTGTTTTGTTTTAAATTTTTTGGTTTTGTTTTTTTGGCAGATTTAAAATATAAAACACGTCAAAAGTGTGAAACCTCAAAAGCACACTTTTCTGCAGTGTCTCCATTGAAGTTTATTGAACCAAAAGTGCACCTTTTGCATTTAAAAAAGTCCCCGACCCTTTCCAAAAATGCAGTAGTTCAAAAAAGCCTAAATGTGAACGTGTCCCACAGGAAACCATGTTAAATGGGCTGTAGTGCATTTTGGCAAAAAGTACTAAAAACCACATAGATGTGAACCAGGCCTCAATGGGGAGGAACATTTTTGGGGCATTTTTTTCCCCTCTTTTTAACTCGCCAAATATGCACCAAAAGTGTGGCAAGCAGGATTTTCAACACCGCAAGGGGAGTACAACAGACCAGTGTGAAGACATGCATTGAATTTAAAGGGATGCATTTTTCTTGAGCTCTTCTTCCACTTTTTTTTTTTTTTTCACCACGAAAGTGCTTCAAAAACTGCTCAGTGTGTAAGCAGCCTATTGGCTGAAAATAAATTCATATTCATTTAAATTCAAGATAGTAATTAAAAAGTCAAATATAATATAATTTTTTTTAAACTGTCCATTTCGGTTTTCAGCCAAATGCATCCTGAATTCTCGGTTTCGGTCCAGAATTTTAATTTCTGTGCACCACTAGTTTATACAGGATAGGACATTTCCTAGATCATAAAAGGATATGAAGTTATGAATACTTCTCCTAAACATTTGAGATGCCCCCTCTCAGAAACATAACACATGCACCAAATATCCAACTCCTTGCGCTCTGTTAAGAGACGAAAGATATTACAAGAACCTGTTTGAAGAACAGATGCACACAGGATGTGGGACAACAGAGCAGCATCTCAGTATATTCATCGTTCTCCACAACCTCCAAGAAGATACCTCACCACCAAACATGGGAAGCAGCTTAGTGATAACTGACATACAGTGTATTTATAAAGTATGCCGACCCCCTTTTATTTATTTAAAGATGCAGCCTGATACTACAGTTGTTTATATTCATTTTGTTCTCATTCTACACTCCGTACCCTATAATGACAAAGTGAAACCAGAATTTCAGAAGTGTTTTGTGTAAATTTCAGGAAAAACTGAAATATCACATTTTCATAAATATTCAGACCCTTTGCAACAACACTTGGCCCAGTTGGAGTGGGGATGTGAACCATCTCCATAGAGAACAATTGGGGTTTTTTCACCCTGAGCATTTTGGAGCTTCGATCTACAAAATGCTGAGGTGTGATAGGGACTTTAGAGGATGTAGACAGGTGGGAACAATGTTTCACATTGCCCAGGAATTAAAAGATATTGCATTAAGGAATATGTTCTGATTCATCCTGTCACAAGTGATAATATACCCAAAAAATGCCACACTGCTCTCCTAAATAAACTGACTGCAGACATCATCTTTAGCATCTCTAGCAGCAAAAATATCCATTGCCAAAGCAATGGCGGTGGAGGCGGGCCAGGGCCCTGGCCTAAAGCTACAGCTCTCCTCTTTTTTTTTTTTTTTTTTTTTTTTTTTTTTTTTTTTTTTTTTCTTTTCCTCAGATCCATTTTAACCAAGGCTCCCGTATTATGGATTATTGGTTGTAAACTTAATGTGTTGGTTTAATCAAGAATTACATTTAGTAAACATTGGAAAACTGCTCATTTGGGTCAAGTCTCTGGTGTCTAGACGGCATGGACTGAAACTACCTTACCCTGCTTGTTTGTGCAAGCTAGAGCTCTGCCCCCGTGCTGTAATGTGTTGAATTCCAATTCTATTTCTCAAACACTCTTCCTGTTTTATGATTCAGTTGTTAGTAATGTCTTTCTCAATTATTGAACCAAACAAATGCTTGTAAAACCTTTATTGTGCTTAGTAATAAAGATGATTGACGCAGGAAAAGTCCTCCTTTTGTGAACTCTGTGGCATGTGTTTTTGATGACAGCTCAACAGTAACACACCTAAAATGCATGTAAAAAACTTATTACACAGATGTGCCCCAAGCCCTAGGGCTTCTTCACACGAGCTTTGCCCTCTGAGCCTGGGCTAACACATGTGAGATGCAAATTTTTTATTTTTTTTTTCTCGGGTCTGTTTTCAGTGCGAATTTCAAAATAGTTGTTCAGCAGTTTAGATGCAGTTCAGATGTGAATTGGCAAGGCCCAAACTTATGACATATGCGATTTAGAAGCATTCCCATTTAAGTCAAAGAGCCTGTAATTTGCACCACACTGCTCAGAAAATGCACAGGACTCTTCTTAAATTCACATTGTGGGTGCACTGCATACTGTGGATATAAAAAGTCTACATACCCCTGTTAAAGTGTCAGGTTTCTGTGAGGTAAAGAATTGGACAGAGAAATCGTTTCAGAACTTTTCCCACCTTTTTAATGTAATCTATAAACTGTACAACTCAATTAAAAAACAAACTGAAATCTTTTTTTGGGGGGGGGGGGGGGGGGAGTGGAGGGAAGTGAAAATAAAAAAACTAAAATAATGTGGTTGCATAAATGTGCACAACCTTAAACTAATCCTTTGTTGAACCACCTTTTGATTTTATTCCAGCAGTCAATCTTTTTGGGTAAGAGTCTATCAGCATGGCACATCTTGACTTGGCATATTTCCCGGCTCTTCCTCGCAAAAACACTCCAAATCTGTCAGATTGTGAAGGCCTCTCCTGTGCACAGCCCTCTTCAGATCACCCCACTGATTCAGGTCTAGGCTCTGGCTGGGCCATTCCAAAATTTTAATCTTCTGGTGAAGCCATTCCTTTGTTGATTTGGATGTATGCTTTGGGTTGTTTTCATGCTGAAAGATGAAGTTCCTCTTCATGTTCACGTTTCTAGCAGAAGCCTGAAGGTTTTGTGCCAATATTGACTGGTATTTTGAACTGTTAATAATTACCTCTACCCTGACTAAGGCCCCAGTTCCAGCTGAAGAAAACCAGCCCTAAAGCATGATGCTGCCACCACCATGCTTCACTGTGGGTATGGTGTTCTTTTGGTGATGTGCAGTGTTGTTTTTGCACCAAACATATCTTTTGGAATTATGGGCAAAAAGTTCAACCTTGGTTTCATCAGACCATAACACATTTTCCCACATGCTTTTGGGAGACTTCAGATGTGTTTTTTTCCAAAATTTAGCTAGGCTTGGATGTTTTTCTTCATAAGAAAAGGCTTCCATCTTGCCACTCTACCCCATAGTCCAGACAATATGAAGAATACAGAAGATTGTTGTCACATGTACCATACAGCCAGTACTTGCCAGATATTCCTGCAGCTCCTTTAATGTTGTTGTAGGCCTCTTGGCAGCCAGTTTTCTTCTTGTCTTCATCAATTTTGGAGGGATGTCCAGTAATGTCACTGTTGCACCATATTTTCATCCACTTGACTGTCTTCCACTGTGTTCCATGGTATATCTAATGCCTTGGAAATTCTTTTGTACCCTTCTCCTGACTGACACCTTTTAACAATAAGATCCCTCTGATGCTTTGGAAGCTCTCTTCGAGCCATGGCTTTTGCTGTAAGATGTGACTAAGAAAATGCCAGAAAAGACCTACTAGAACAGCTGAACTTTTATTTTGGGTTAATGAGAAACAAACCATTTTAAATGATGGAAAGTGTGTACTGACTCCTATTTAACATGATTTTGAATGCGATTGCTTAATTCTGAACACAGCTCAGCTACATCCCCAGTTATAAGAGGGTGTGCACACATATGCAACCACATTATTTTAGTTTTTTTGTTTGCTCCCCCCCCCCCCCCCCCCCCCCAAGAAAAAAAAGATTTCAGTTTGTTTAATCATTGAGTTGTACAGTTTATAGGTCACATTAAAGGTGGAAAAATCCCTAAAAAGATTTAGCTTTGTTTCATTGTTTTACATTACAGAAACCTAAAAATTTTAACAGGGGTGTGTAGACCTTTTTATATCCACTGTATATGTGAATGGCCACAATAGTATCCAATTTAATTTTACATGCGAATCAATGTGTTCTAAAAACTCCTGAATTCGCACATGTGTGACCTGGGGCTGAAGAACAATCTGCATTCGACAGGCAGTGAGTAGGTGTTGCCTCCTCACTGCTTGCTTTATCCCCTCTAACCCCACATTATCACACTACTGCCATGCGTATTGCACATGGTTGCGGGGCACTTGCAAGAGCAGACCTATTCACTTGAGAGGGTTGCATTTTGGCGGCACTATTCCTGCCAGAAGAGTTAGAAGGGTATAATTTCTGTTGCAGCCATGAAGCAAAGAAAAGAGGGTAGCTGTTTTTGTGTATGGTAATGGCAATTATTACTTTGAGCCCTTTTTGTAATTTTAATTTTTTTTTTTTCTTTCTTTTTTTTATTAGTGAATTACTATCACCATGATGTTTCCTCAAAAGAACATTGCAAGAGACCATTGGGGTTTTCTACTTCTATGCTTTTCAACCTTCATTGCTGCTGGTTATGGTAAGGAATGTGTGAGTGTGGGTGTTTTGTAGTATTTTTTCACAGGTCTGCAAAAAAATTTTCTCGAGCTGTTTTGGTTATTCCACATAATCTTTGTTTTTTTTGGTGCGCTGAATCCAAAAATGACCTCCATTTTGTCATAGGACACATCACGTTTCCTGACAATTTAGGTAACTATGTTAAATAAGGCAATACCTCAAAATAAATGGAAATAGACTTATAAAATTAAAGTTTTATTACAATTTTTTTTCATGAAAATCTTTTTTTGAACTGAAATGAGGTCGTCTACACACACTAAACTCGCTTCTTCTTCCCTGTGAGGCTCCTCTTGGTGCATTTACGCTTGTGAGTAGCATCTGGAATGTCTCTCTGAAGCATCCAACAGTAGTCTGCCATCATTGTAATGCTCCATTTTCCCTGGTATCTCCTTTCCATCTCTTTAATGTCTTGGTGGAATCGTTCACCTTGTTCCTCACTCACCTCTCCCAAATTTTCCGGAAAGTAGTCAAGGTGGGACTGGAGGAAATGCGATTTTAACTCATCAGGCAACCTAAAGCTTGAAATGCTTTCAGCAATTATCCGATCTTTTTGTAGTGAGGATCTTTGTTATTGCTTAAAAATTTCTGTACGACTTCTTTAAATGCAATCCACCCTTCTTTGTGAGGATCCGTCATGGTATTGACAAACTCTTGATCAACTATAAGCCTTCTAATGTCTGGTCCGACGAACACACCTTCCTTCAATTTTGCCTCCGACAGGCCTGGAAACTTGGTGACCAAGTATTTGAAGCATTCTCCATCTTTTGGAAGGGATTTTATGAATTGCTTCATCAATCCCAATTTTATGTGGAGAGGTGGTAGAAGAACTTTATGGGAAGGTGCCAAAGTTTCTCGGAGGACGTTTTTTTTTTTTTCACCGACTGTTAGCACCCTCGGCTGCCAACTCTTCTTGGTCCAGTAATTTTGTCGATCTTGACTGTCCCATAGACAGAGAAAACAAGGGTATTTGGTATCCCACCCACTGGATTCTTCAGGAAAGATTAACCCCTTCTACCATTAGAAGCACAGACTCAGGGCTGAGGCTTACACATACCGCATGCTGCTGAGTATCCCAGTAGTCATGTCACTCAGAGCAGCACTTGTATTCACCCCCTTTGCAGGGGGGGAGGGGCAGAGATTGTTTACCTGCAAATAACAACAAAGGGCCAGAAGAGAACTAGGGAAATGAGGAAATAGATTTTTTCTTTTCCCTAAAACTTGCTTGGCTTATGTATATATTGCTGACCATCAGATTTACAGTGCTATTTTTTTTTTTTTTTTTTTTTTTTTTACATAACTCGGACAACCCCTTTTTAAGGTGTTTGTGTTTGTGTTGTGTGTTTTTTTTTTTTTTTTTTTTTTTTTTTTTGCATTTTATATCTTAAATGCACTTATGTGAATTAATTAATAGTAATTTGGACTTTAGATTTTGTTAAAAACACATAATAAAAAAAACCCCCAAAAAATTTGATACATTTTGAAGACAATTTTGTATTTTGTGGCAAATCATGACGTCTAGCGTCATTTTTTTTTTTTTTTTTTTTTTTTTTTTTTTTTTTTTTTTTTTTTTTTTTTTTTTTTTTTTTTTTTTTTTTTTTTTTCAATATTTTATTTTCAGCACACCAAAATACATGAAAATTAGATGAAAATAATCAAACGGCTTTTTAGTCACAGACCTGTGAATGTTTAATATAATACTTTCTAGGGTTGCACTGATACTGGTATAGGTGCCGATACTAAGCATTTGCATGAGTATTGGTACTTGTGCAAATGTACCAATACTAGAAGTGACGTCATGGAAGAGCCAGCTTTTCTATTATGGCCGCTTCCACTGCACAGTTTGTTCTGTGATATTCCCACTGACTGATACTCAGATTCCTTCACTGTAATGTTCAAAAATTATGTTTGTATTAACAACATGCTTTCATATACCCCACTGTTCTAATTTCTTTAAAACAAATATTGTAAAGAATCTGAGTGCATCAGTCACTTGGTCAGAGAGCCCAAAATTCCATGAATAATCAATGTATTGTCTCTTTGAAACTGCCTTTTAGTTGTCAGTCCAGAAGTGGTAATTTCACAAGTAAATAGTCATTAACCAAGCAAGTAGTTACAAGCCAATAGATGGCCATAAAAGCTGAGAAATGCAGCAGTCTTTGTAGCAGATCTCAATGGCAGGTAAGTATCAGTTGGCAGACAAAACAATGTAGCAATGGCTGTAAAGATAACACATGTAGCAATCTTCAATGTAGATGCTAAAGAAAAAAATAGTAGCTATGGCTTAAAAATTATAGGAATAGCAATTTTCAATTTAAATGTTTGCGTCCAGCATAGCTATAACTGCAGTTCAAAGCCCATAAATTCTGTCAGGTGGGGAAAATCTAGTGGAAAGTTAGATTTAATGTCACTGTTGGATAAAAATAGAAGAAAAATATGGATGATGACAAAGGAGCTGTATACGTAAGAGGTTGATTTTTTTTTTTTTTTTTTTTTTTTTTTTTTTTTTTTTTTTTTTTTTAAATATTAAATCTTGCAAGGTGTCCCCCTTAATTAGCAATAGGTTGATGTTTCTCCTTTTTTAAAATGTGTTCAAGTGGACCTAATGAAAATAAATTGGACTTGGAGAGAAATAGATAATCTCTCAGGAAAGTAAAGACCATCACTAAAAGAATTACAGAATCCTGAGGACTTAGATTAAACAGAGTGATAAAGGTGGGAACATTGTTTTGCTAAGTGAGGAGTATTATGAGAATGGGGTAAAAAGACAACTAAACAATAAAGTGACTTATTAAAAACGTATTGTAAATCAATTTCCATTATTGGGTAAGACATTAAACTCAATTACTCTTAGCAAAAGAAGAAAATGTATTAAAGGATAAGTTCGCCTTTCATAACATGTTACACACCTATTCAGGGGTGTAACATGTTACTAGTGGACTGGCACCCGTTTCTTCATGCTCCCCATTGTGACAGCTAACTGGGGATCTTCTCCCTGCTAGCTGTCACAATTAAAAAAACAAAAACAATCGGCCTCTTCATTCATTTATTGTGTCTTGTGAATGAATGACCTACAAACCCTTTACGGCTGTCAACTTTTAGTTCTCAATGAACTACCATGGCACTCTAGAGCACCATGGTGGTCCTTTGATTCTTCCTGTCAGTATATCCGCTTGCCTGTACATCCTGTACAGACAAGCAGATATACTGTCAGACCTGCATGGCACCAGCGATCTGCTGTTCACTGGTGCAATGCTTTTACAGGCTCCAGAAAAATGTGCAAAAAATTGTGCATTTATTTTTTGTAAAAAAATTTGAATATCTACAAGTGGAAGAATACAATGTTCCCACCTTTTTTGTCTGTCTTTCTGAAATTGTACAAGAATTTTGGTAACCCACCAGGGCAACCTATCGTATCTGCAGTTAAAAGCCCCCTAGAATGGATTGGGAACTCTATCAATATAGATGGTGCCATCACACTAAACATACATTGCTCAAAAAAATTACACTTTTTAATAAGAGCATAGCATCAAGTCAATTAAACTCTTGGGGTATTGATCTAGTCAGTTAAATAGCAGAGGGGGCTGTTAATTTCATTAACACCGGAGCAACTGAAACTGATTAACAGGTGCACTAGATGGGAAACCATGAGACGACCCCCAAAACAGGAACGGTTTTACAGGTGGAGGTCAGACTTTTTTTCTTTTTTTTTTCCCCTACTCCTCCTTTTCTGACTGATTTTCACTATTTTTTTGCATTTGGCTAGGGTCAGTGTCGCTATGAAGTGATACCTAGACCCTAGAGAGGTTGGACAGGCAGTCCAACTCCTCCAGGATGGCACATGAATACGTGCTATTTCCAGAAGGTTTGTTGTGTCTCCAAGCACAGTCTCAAGAGCATGGAGGAGATTCCAGGAGACAGGCAGTTACTCTAGGAGAGCTGGACAGGACCATAGAAGGTCCTTAACCCATCAGCAGGACCGGTATCTGCTCCTTTGTGCAAGGAGGAACAGGATGAGCACTGGCAGAGCCCTACAAAATGACCTCCAGCAGGCCTCCGGTGTGAATTGTTTCTGACCAATCAGAAACCAACTTCATGAGGGTGGCCTGAGGGCCCAACTTCCTCTAGTCTGCCCTGTGCTCGCTGCCCAACACCATAGAGCTTGATTGGCATTTGCGACTGAACACCAGAATTGGTAGGTCCACCACTGGCGCCCTGTACTGTTCACAGATGAGAGCAGGTTCACCCTGAGCACATGTGACAGATGTGAAAGGATCTGGAGAAGCTGTGGAGAACATTATGCTGCCTGTAACATTATTCACCATGACCGTTTTGGTGGTGGTTAAGTGATGGTTTGGGGAGGCATATCCATGGGGGGGGGGATGTACAGACCTCTACTGGGTAAACATTGGCACCCTGACTGCCATTAGGTATCAGTACGAAATCCTTGGACCCATTTTCAGACCCTACGCTTGTGCAGTGGGTCCTGGGTTCCTCCTGGTGCACGACAATGTCTGGACCTCGTGGCGAGAGTATGTAGGCAGTTCCTGGAGGATGAAGGAATTGATACCATTGACTGTCCCCCACGCTCGCCTGACCTAAATCCAATAGAACACCTCTGGGATATCATGTTACTAACATTTATAGGTAAAATTGATCCAGGGAACATCCGATTGCCCCTCGGGGGATCTGGATGGAATTTTTTTCCCCTGCAGGAGCAAATTAGATCATTCTTTGCTGTGTGTGGGGGTGTTTTTTTTTTTTTTTTTTTTTTTTTTTTTTTTTTGCCTTCCCCTGGATCAACTGTGGGTATAGGATTATAATTTTATTTTTTGGTTGAACTGGATGGACTTTTTGTCTTTTTTCAGCCAGACTACCTATGTAACTGTTTCGGTCCATCCAACACCACCAGGTTGTGCCTCAGACTGTCGTCTCATTAGGAGTATGCTACGACATTGTGAGGCA